AGCAAACATTCCCTTACTTCTCTTTGCAGGTACTTCCATGACTAGAGTAACTTCCCAGCTTCTCTATCTGGTCCTCACTTGCTCCTTCTCGGGTAGATGGAGGAGTAAATTATTTGATTGGAGGGTGGTAAGGGTATGAAATTCTGTGATTCATGCTTTTTGAATGATTGAGTCCAACCATTAGGAAACTTGAAGCACTGGTGACATTCTCCCTACCATCTTCCTACCACCAATAATATCTGCCCCCCAGACCCAAACCTAACCTCTGGTGATCTGCGCCAAGGTCTAGACTTGCGAGGGATGAGTCCAGTAAGCCCACTTGGCTGTAAAACGAAGTCACATCCTTTCATTAACTTACCAGTAATAAAGCTGAGGTTTTTCATCTTCATCTGTTTGACTTCTATGCTTTATTTTCCAGTTTTCTCCAGACTCAAGTGGTCAAAGAAAATGTTACTTTTTAAATTGTAGGCTACTCTGTGTGCAAAATAATATTAATAGGTGCTATTTATTAAGCATTAATCTTGTCAATTGGTTTATCGCATCATCTCAGTGAATTTTTACAATAATCTTATAAGGCTGGTTCTATTATTGCCCTTGTTTTTGTAGGAAACAAAAACAAACCAAAAAACTAACGTTCAGAGAGTGTCAGATGCTGTTCTTCGTGGAATACTTATTCTATAATTGTGGGCTCAGGACTGAAGTTTCAGGGAAATCGAAAAGGGAGTTTTCTGTCTAGATTTGTAAACCCATTTACTGAACTACTGTTAGAACAGTGAAAGGAACAACTGTGCAAACTCTCTGCTTCACATCTCTTGCTTATTAATAAAGTCCTGTTGCCAACATCTAACATTCAAGCCGACAGGTATTTGCTTGTTTAACTGGAGCTACCACCCAAACTCACCCCAGAGAAGATATGTGTGTGGGTGGGAGGGAATCCATCCCCATGCTAACCAGATGGTTTTCAAGGGCCTGCTAGGGGCTTAAGTGACTGTAAGTGACAAAAATTCAGATATTTAACAATGTGTGTGATCAGCATTTCTCCTGGCCGATGAAGTGCCAGGGAAGGGGAAAAACTAATGCATCTATCAGGGATTTGGCCCACAGACTGGAGGAACGAGACTATGGGAGATTTCTAAAGATTGTTGCTATCTATCCAGCTGTTATTACTAAAAACAAACAAACAAACAAACAAACACCCACAAAACTGATGAGTATCTCTTTAGCTGGAAGGCTGGGCAGGAGGTTGTCAGGGTTACCAGATACTAAGGTGAAAAACAGCTGCTTAAAGCCCATCACACAGCACTTTGAGAATTATTTTTACTTTAAAAGCATGATGTTTATAGCCCCACAGAAATTATTCGGTATGGTCTCTAGAGCAAGCCTCGATGCCTTGCGGGCTTCTCATTGTAAAACCTCATTGTTAAAATGTCTCAACTGGATGCCCTGCCAGGCCACAACCCAGGGCTGAAGTGTGCCTCCGTGACAATGTCTGGTGTGGTTGTTCAAGGATCTGAGCTCAGCCCCTACGTCCTGTCCACCCTTTGCTCTGGCTAGCTTATCCAGTCTCAGGGTTTTGGCTTGTCGCAGATGACTCCTCAAATCTACTTCTCCATCCCCGTTTTAAGAATTTTCAGCCTCTGCCGAGATGGGTTTGGCTCAGTGGATAGAGCGTCGGCCTGCGGACTGAAGGGTCCCAGGTTTGATTCTGGTCAAGGACTTGTACCTTGGTTTCAGGCACATTCCCAGTAGGGGGTGTGCAGGAGAGATCCATGTTTCTCTCTCATTGATGTTTGTAACTCTCTATCCCTTTCCCTTCCTCTCTGTGAAAAATCAATAAATATATCTATATGCGTATTTTAAAGAATTTTCAGTTTCACATTCTCACTTTTGATGAGTGTGTCCATAAATTACAGGTACCTCAATCTCTATGTCTAAAAAGGAACCCTCGCTCTCTTTACAAACTATAAGCTTCTTGTGCCATCAGATAGATGACTTTCAGGTACCTCTCTTAAAAGCCTGCATCATCTTTGTGACTCTTTCTTTCACCCTCGTGTCAAATGCATTGCCAAGTCCAGCCAGCCGGTATCTTTGGACTCCAATCCTCTTTGCTATTCCACGTCCACTGCTTTGGTTCAGGTCCTCTTTGTCCTTTCTCCTACATCAGCATCCCAGCACAGTGGTGTCCTTGCCACCATCCTCACTCTACTCTTCATGTCTACTGCCACTGTCATCACTGCTCCATTTCAACTACATCATTGTCATCCTCAAAACTTTTGCTGATGCCTCATTGCTTACACCTGGAGTCCAAATTCCTTACCTTAGTAATCATAGTTGGGCCTCAGCCTTCTTTACTCTTCATATGCCCTATACCCTAGCCCAGTGTTTTTTTAACCTCATTTTCATTACTGTTCCCGTAAGGAGACTTCCAAGGATTTTTTTCTTAATCACCCCTTTCATGAAATGTTAATGCCACTACTGTATATCTGTTTATGCATGAAACACATGTTTATATTCTGTACTTCATATTTAAAAGTAAGATATATTTACCCTCAAAAAAACAAAGCAATTTTTGCTTCATTAGGGGCAATCTCTTCCCTATTGACAATGTATACTCTAGCCAAAACAGATCACTTACCAATTCCTGAAAATGTCCTTGTATTTTCTAGCTTTCAAGTTTTTGTTCATTTTGGCTAATAGTCAGAGGAGTTGAACGAATATGAAAAGATTCCTGGGGTGTCAAGCTGCCTTGCCTGGGATTGACTCACACATCTCCTCTCAGCACCCTCCATTCTTCTGTCGAAAGCTGGCCTTTGTTGTTGGGAACTAGCTTGGGAACTCAGTGGGAACTAGCTTCTTTCTGTGCTCCAGTAGAACCTTCTTTATGTCCCTGTTGTGTTCTTCTTTGCAATGTAGTGGTTTTGCTTTTTGTGTTATTCCCTCGCTGTCCTATAAACTTCCTAAACACAAGGACTAACTTCTTCACAGTGTACAATGCCTTCAAACAGTATGCACCAGTGTACATTAGTTAAAATCAATCCACTGATACACCAGGGTCAGGAACAAGATAAAAGTCTACCAGTGCTCACATTAAAAAGTCCTACGTGCATGCTGAATAAATGAACACACTAATGATTAAGGGGGGGAAAAGGCACATTCCTAAGCCAGCATCATTAACGCAGAGACTGCCTACAAAGGAATGTGAGTGTTGTACAACATTGGTGAACTGAATTGGTTCCTGCTGCAGAGAAATAACAAACGCCTACTGAAAATTGCTTGAATGGCTCCCTGCCTACATATGTCTTAAACAATGATACTCAAGGTGAGTAGAGGACCCAGAGGCCAAAACATAAGTAGCTATTTTTGACACCGCGTTTTTTGTGACATCACCACCACATAAGAAGTGGTCAAACTGAGGCCCTGGGCAGGGACCTTGATCTGACCAAGTTTATTTTTGTGTGGGAAGCGAAGCAAAAGAAACAACATTTTCTGGAAAAGACTTTTCCAGAAAATATTTTAAAATATCAGTATAATCATTTAAAATATCAGTAAAATCATTTTAAAATATCAGTATAAATATGTTTAGAAAGTTCCATCATATCTTTGAATACTACTTTCTAAGAAAACCTGTTTCTGTGGTTTCATTGGATTACATTTTGCTTTAGTCAGAGGATTAGATATTGCCACTTGTATTACTTCTCTTATTGAGACTTTTTTTTTTAAAAATTTCTATTGAGGGCAAATTTCTCAGCCTTTCTAATGGTTGACACTTTTTGGACTTTGCTGATGCTGTTAATCCTCATCTGAGGGTATTTTTTTTTCCCATTGATGTTTAGAGAGTGAAAAGGAGGGAGAGAGGGAAGGGGGGAAGGAGGGAGAGAAGTCCATGGGAGAGGGATACATGAGTGGGCTGACTTCTGCAGGTCCCCTACACGGATCAAGCTCAGAAACCTGGGGTGCATGGGAGGATGCCCTACCAACTGAGCCACACTGGCCAGGGCAAAGATGATCAAATCTTGCAGAAAGCTACAAAAGGTTCTTCCTATTATTCTTTGCCTTAGGGCTTGCTCCTAAAATACCATACACAGTTTTATGTTGTTTCTTTTCTAAAATCTGTAAATGACTTTTGTGGGGCAATCAGATGGGGGAAGGGAGAAGATCGTCTGAAGGATGAGATGCTTGTCAGAAAAATGTATTTCCAAGGATGCTTTCAATTCAGCCCTTGGGTCTAATCTGCTCACGGTGACTTACAGAGAGTTTAGCCCTTTCCGGTCATTCAAATAGAGTAACTAATCTTCATTCAGCCCCTTTAAAGCGCCTACAGGCAATTGTACTTCCAATGGACCCTTTATTGAAAAGGAAGCTTGGAGCCGTGACTGGTTTGGCTCAGTGGATAGAGCGTCAACCTGCGGTCTAAAGGATTCCGGTCAAGGGCATGTACCTCGGTTAAGGGCACATCCCCAGTAGAAGGTGTGCAGGAGGCAGCTTATCGACGTTTCCAACTCTCTATTTCTCTCTCTCTGTAAAAAAAAAAAAATCAATCAAGTAATATTTTTTTAAAAAAGAAAAGAAAGGAAGCTTCGTGGTGAAGCTCTTTCCTTTGCACTCCCTTGAGTCCAGCTCAGGTTCGGAGCGCACACAGCAGCAGGCAAAACAAATACGTTGGCGCCAACACTTAAAGCCTCAGCCTCACTTAGGAGCAGGAGCAAGTAGGTTTGTTGGTTTAGCAAACAGGATAGGAGGTGGGGGGAGGGGAGGGGAGGGGGTGGGAGGAGAAGGAGGAGGCAGGGCCCGCCCCTTTGGAGCGGGATTGGTCCCCTCCCTCCCTCCGGCCGTTCATTTGGCACCTGGGTCCGGTGGGTGGAGACAAACCTGTCGCTAAGGTGGTGTCAAAATGAGCCCCGTAGGTGTAGGTGTGGGCTGTTCCCCAAGTTTGTGGTTTTAGGTTTCCAAAGGGACAGACTTAGTGGCTAATGGGATCCAGTCTTCTGTATCTCGAAAAAATGTCACCGTAACAGGAGGCTCCCAGGAGCTTAAGAGGGTAACTCCCGACACAGACAACATGACGAACGTCCCTCCGGGGTTTGATTTTAGCTTCCTAAATGACGAAGAGGCCAGGAAGATCCTGCAGGTGCTGGAGAGGAATGAGGAGCTGAAGAGGGCGGAGAAGGAGAGGATCAGGTACAGAAAGCAGATTCTTTCTCTGCTCCCGGGACCTGCGGGCCGGGGCGCGGGGGAGGGAGCGCGCGGCTCCCCGGGGACACCTGTCCGGCCGGGTCCTCCACGCGCAGCATCCCTCCCTCTGGGGCACCCCGGCCGGGGGAGATCTGCCATGAGCTTTCCCCTTGAAAAGGATTTTGGGGGGCCTAGTTGGGGCTCTTTCTGCTGCACACAGCACCCCAGAAGGGCTCGGGTCCCCGCGGGGTGGGGAGCGCCCCTGCCCTCACCTTGCGGGCGCGGACTCCGGGGCGCTCCTCTCCGAGTGGGGCCCCACCTCCGCCAGGACCCTGGGTGGGACCCGCCGCCGGGGGTCCAGGCGGATTTGCCCTCTGCAGCGCCCGGCTCGGTGGCCTCCGGTCGGTCTCGGGCCCGTGGGCCAGGCCCGCGGGTGGAAAGGGACCAGGGCGCTGCGTGGAGCGGGATCCTGGCCCGCACGCACCCAGGCGCTCACACAGCTCCTCGCCCTACAAAACACCTTTCTCCGCCCCGCACCGTCAGTCGGCGAGGCCATGGAGAGAGCTGACCTCTCCCTGGAGGCGAAAGGATTCCCCACCCCAAGGGCTGGGGCTCCGGGAGCTTGCCCCACTGTCCGGAGTGACCCGGGCTGGGACTGGGATGTGCCCGGAGGCTGGAGTGGGTGGGGCGCCTGGCTGGTGGTGGTGCTGCTATGGGGAAGTTGCCCTGGAATTTTACCCTTGACCTTACTCTGCGGTGCTGTAGGTCAGGGATTGAAATCAAGAGTTTTACAACCTGGGAGGTACATGAACCAGGTTTTTTTTGTGTGTGTGCGTGTTTTTTTTCTTTTCTGATGGGGAAGTGTGGGTTCAGTCCTGGCACTGGTGAGGGGCTGTTCTCACCAATTCTGGAACAGACCATCCATCCAAAGCGGGCTCAGTTGACTGTGGAAGGGAATTCAGGGCACCGCTCTCAGCCCAAAGAGCATGTGGCATCGACTGGGATTTGGAAAGCTGCTTTGTGTGTGAGGAATGTGTTTTAGTGGTGGTGGTGGTGATGTGAGTTCTAGATTTCCACCTTTTGTCAATGATCTCACTGCCCATCTGCCCTATACCTCCAGTTAAGAACCTCCAAAGATACTCTTCCCATACATAGGGGAACCCTAGCTGGTCTTTATCAATAATTAGAATACCCTGGGCATGAAGGTACAGCTTTTCTCTTCCACTGGCTCCTGTGGGGATAGGTGAACATTTATTTATAAAGGAATATTTGAAGTTTGAGGATGTGTTTTTCACACCATCATACGCTGCCTTTTGAAAAACACACCCCATCATTTCCTCAAACAGTGTTTAAGTGTGTCTTCATGAACACAGCTTGTCCACACCCTCACACCCACGTGCATGTACCTACACATATGGACGTGCACTGTACACAGGCACACCCAGTCTTGCCAAGGACTTTAGAGCTGCATGCAGTTTGTCTTCAGCAGAGAGCAATAAGAAAGTGTAGCTGCTCTCAGTGGTGCGTTCTTGGAAGTGTTTCTTATCTCTGCAGAGGATGTTACCCAGTGCTGTGTATTTGGGGAAATTGAGGGGAGAATTAGGAGCTATCTGGAGGGAGGGGACTTCCATTTTGGATATTACCGATGTGGCTTCTCATGAACCATATAGTCTTAGAAATAGTAATATTGCCCTGGCCCGTGTGGTCAGTTGGTTGAGTGTTGTTTTATACACTGAAAGGTCACAGGCTGGATTCCTGGTCAGGGCCTCTGCCCGGGTTTTGGGCTCCATCCCCAACAGGTGCATGCAGAAAGCAGCCAATCAATGTTTTTCTCTCACCTCAATGTTTCTCCCTCTCTCTCCCCTCCTATCTCTCTAAAATCAATAAAAACACATTTTTTAAAGAAATAGTAATATTACCCATTTTAATTTTGATTCAACAGGATTTTGACTTTCCATAGTTGACCTGATGCTTGCCTTGTGTTTAGTCTATGGCAGGTTTTGGTGGTCATGTCAGCTGACTTTAGTGGGAACTGCAACTACACTTCAGCGGCAAAAGCCATGGGCTAAGCAGGAAGGCCTCAGCAGGAAGGCTAAAACACACTTTCTGGTTCCATGGCAATCATATCCTAACTGAAACATCAATACAAAAATAGTACTGTTAACTATTAAAGAATTAAAAATAATTACCCCAAATTTGCCGAAACCGGTTTGGCTCAGTGGCTAGAGTGTCAGCTTTCAGACTGAAAGGTCCCAGGTTTGCTTCTGGTCAAGGGTTGTACCTTCGTTGCAGGCACATCGCCAGTAGGGCATGTGCAGGAGGCAACTGATCAATGTTTTGACATCCCCAGTAGGGGGTGTGAAGGAGGCAGCTGATGGTGTTTCTCTCTCATCAATGTTTCTAACACTCTATTTTAAATAAATAAATAAATAAATAAATAAATAAATAAATAAATATAAATAAATAATAAATAAATAAAATAATTACCCCAAATTAAAAATATATAAAATATATTTTATATTAAATATGTATACATAAATATATTAAATATAAAAAACTTAAGGTAAGTAGGCGCTTGGGCCAAATGCTCAAGGCAATTATATCTAGTACATTCTTTTCCCTGGCCAATTCTTGGGTCCCGCTATCAAATACCTGTCACTGGATAGCAGTCCCAATGGGGTTGTTCTGCTTACTGATCCATGCACATCGGTTTTAATAGCAAGTACTGGCATGCAGAGAAGACCTGAGATAACATGTCAACTTGGCTGCTCTTCTGCTTATTTTCTTGATATGTACGATCATCATATTTTCCAGATCCAAAGTCAGAACATGTGACTTGTAATTCCAGATTATTATTTGAGACTCTGGGAGGCCTTTTTACTATATTGAAAAAAAACATTCTCGAGATCTCCTGGCTAAGATATAAAGGGACCAAAAGTGGAAATTTGGGAAGTTTGCTGGTTGCGGGACAGCTGATGATTTCAGTTATCGATAGCTCTGCTAGGCTTGAGGGGTCTACAAGACAACCAAGAAAAAACATTTTGTAGAATTACAGTGTCATGCAGGGCCATAGATGTCCAGAGATGAGTGTTAAAGGAGTGAGCATAGTTAAGGTAAAGCAGAGATGGCAGACAGCCCTATTTCAGAAAGGATCCTGAACACACAGTATGTATTTCCCCCTGTTCTCTCCTCATTGGTCTCAGGCCTCATCTGGCTCCAGCTTCCTAGGAAAATATTTGCATTAAATATTATAATTTTTTTAATATATAAACTTTATTCAAATTTTTTTAAGAAGAAAAAAATACCAAGATTCAAAATGATAGGCAAAAGGTAGAAATAAATCATTCGTGCTAGGAGATATTCAAATAGTAAACAAAAACACTACAGAAAAACATTCACCCTCACAGTAATGAAGAAATGAAAATTGAAATAACCACAAGATACCTACCATGTTGCACCTTTAAAAATAACATAAAAATTATTGTGCAGTGAAATGGAAGATTCAGCATAATTGTTAGTGGCATTGTAAATTGAATACAATCCTTTTGATGAACTGTAAGATGATACCTATATATAATGCCTTCCCTTGATCCATTCATCCAATTCTTGGATATTTTTCATTAGTAGGAGATTAGGGAGGAGAAGATGGCCACACCAACATTTATTAAGTGCTTCCTTCTTATATAATAATAGTAATTACTACCATGATAAAAATAACAGTATTTGTCTCTTACTGTATACTAGGCACAGTACTATATTTAACTAATGCTTTCTATATTTAACTAATCCTCCAAGTAACCTTACTAGGCACACACTTTAACTTTCATTTCACAGAGAAGGAAACCACTTACAAAGATTGAGTATCTTGTCCAAGTTAAGTGGCAGAGCCAGAATTTAAACCCAACTCAATCTCAAAACTATTTTGCCCGTCAGCATTGAATAATCCCCACGACCATCCCTTGGGGTGAGTATTATTAATTAATGACTTTGTGTAGAGAGAAACTGAAATTTGGCAAGGTTAAGGAACTTGCCTAAGGTCACATAATTCCTAAGTGGCAGAGCTAGCTTTGGAGCCTGAATCTGTTTGCCTTCAAAGCCTATATTTTCCCACTGTCCCATGTTTCTTCCTGAGGAAATAATTTAGTAGAGGAAAAACAAGAAGCATAGTCTCAGATATTTATTGCAGCATTTCCTATAATCGCAATATAGTTGGACATTTCAAATCTAAACGTCCAATAGAGCACAGTCATTACAAAGGACAATTGTGAGGAGATAATTCTATCTCACCGGTGTGATATTTTTGTTCTACATTCCAGACTACGTTGGTTGTTGTTAGATACCTCCTTTATTTAGCTTATCATAAATAAAACTGGGGGGGGGAAATGCAAATGCGGCATTGTTTTGTGGAAAGCAGATCACAAAATAGTGCCTATGCTATCATTGCACTTTATTCAGGACACCTGTACATGTGCTCAGCAACTGGAAGAAAATGAGCAAAAACCTGTGCCTTCTGATGTATCTCTAGGGCTTAATGCAGCTTCTGGCCCATGGTGAACATTCAGTAAACGTTTTCTTTTTTTATTTTCTTTTTCTTTTTCTTTTTTTAAAATATATTTTATTGATTTTCTACAGAGAGGGAGAGAGAGGGATAGAGTCAGAAACATCAATGAGAGAGAGACACCGATCAGCTGCCTCTTGCACACCCCCTACTGGGGATGTGCCCGCAACCAAGGTACATGCCCTTGACCGGAATCGAACCCAGGACCCTTCAGTCCGCAGGCCGACGCTCTATCCATTGAGCCAAATCGGTCTCGGCTGTTTTCTTTTTTTAAAATACGTTTTTATTGATTTGAGAGAGAGAAAGGGACAGAAAGAGAGAGAGAGAAATATCTGATCGGTTGCCTCCCACACTCCCTATCTAGGGACACACACCTTAACAAGACACTGAATCCCCCGGGGCATATGCCCTGAGTAGGAATTGAACTGGCAACCTCTCAGTGCATGGG